GAGGTGAGGTCTCTCTGAAGCCAGCCCTTGCAACTGGAGGAGCATCAGCAGGCGCATTGCTGTGGCAGAAAGGCATCCCTCAGCCCGCGTGTGCTGGCCTTGTTCCACCAATGCAGTGCTCAGTGTTCTGAACGCTCCCCTGGAATAAGCCCCATGGCCGTCTCGTGTCCTCTGAGAAAAATCTACCAAGAGTACGTCGTTGCAATTCCCCCCAAGAGTGGCTAAAATCGTTTCTCTTTTTTTGAGTTGATAAAATCTTAAGTTGACCTCTCTGCCTCAACTTTCACTGGCCCAGCAGATCCCCTGAGAAGCCACTGTTGTGATGGGAACTTTATTGGACGGCCCCAAACACTAAGAGTGTACCGCTGAGAGAGCTTGTCTGCAAGCAGCCCGATAGATCAGACGTGCTGACACACATGGTGTTTGGAATAAACTGGGCGTGTGTGAACTGAAACTACAATACGCTTTTTACTTACCCTCCTACTTCAATAAGAACTTTCACAATTCTCTGGGCGAAGAAAAGTTTGAAGACGACATAAAAGTAATGGCAATTAAATCGTCAACTCCAAATGCTGTTACAACTATCATGAGCAGATAACTGCCCACACTACTACCCCAGTGTAGCCTCCCAACAGTCAGCCCTTCTCCACCAGCTTGGAAGCCAGCCGATGGCAGAGCAGATTTGGGACCCTGTCTGTCAGCAACTGACTCGATGGCAGTGAGTGGCATTGCCTCCCTCTGGCAATGAGACTCGTTCTTATAACACTCGAGGCCCAGAGAGAGGCTCTGCCAGAACACACAGCTGGTCACTGCCAGACGGGGACAAGCTTGAGCTTGGAAGCCATACAGTGCTGCCACTGGCCAGCTAGCGACTTTAGTTGAGGTCAAAGTTACTTCATTTCTCAGAGACCTGCTTTCCTCACACAAATTAGGAATGTCTAAAACAAATGTTGAAGATAGTCTTCCTTATGCCGCTGGGTTCAGGAGTTTGGGTTCTGGAAATTGTTCTGTGGATGAAATGTCTGGATCCACCGTCTGGGCGCTGCTGTCCTAGCGCTAAGTGAAACTGAGCGCTCACAGGCAAAGCATCGGCTCAGGTGACTTTATCTGCTGGTCTTTACAATAAATGTTTCCAAATCTAAAAAACAAGCCAGGTGTTCAACTACACAGATCTGGGACAAAAGCGAAACCATGTCCATTTGTAGCCACTTCTGAAAGTTGCTCATTTCTGCTCAGTTCACAAGCTCCCCCTCCTACTGCCCTGACATTTCAGTCCGTCCCCTAGAGGAACATTACTCATGATGGTCAACGTAGGTGGATCCATTATAGCGGCATTACAACAGCGCCTGCATACGTACTTACATAGCCTGTCGTTCCGATCAATGTCTCTTAAAAACCCCTTCCAGGCTGTTCTATATTTCTCCTTTTTAACAATTACCACGGTTTTCCAGGTGCCGTACCTGTTGGGCGAGGCCTTCTCGACTCTCCGTTGAACTCAGCAGGACCCGGCGGTTGGCCAGTGCTTCTTCATAAGGCACGGACTGCAGGAGAGGCTGCGGGAAACAGCGCCCGGGTCAAAGGGAGCGCAGTGTCCACCCTGACCCTCCGCACACTGGGCACGATGTGGAAACGGGCTGACAGTGCGTTCACATGCACGCCCACCTAGACTACTGCCTTGTACCATGTGAAACGGCACTCTATTTTTTATTTTTATTTTTTTGAGAAAGAAAACTAAGGAAGGGCAACTTGTCATACCAGCTATACACTCCACTGACTAACACCATATTCATATGCACAGGAATAGACAGATAAGGAACAGGGCAGAAAATCCTAAAACACACAAAAATACATGCTAAGATGTATCATGGGACACAAATTGCATTTTTAATTCAATTCACTGGAGGAAGGATCATAGAATGAATGAGCATCACTAACATAACGCTGA